GTGTCCCAGGCCAAATGTGCCATCGTGGTCCTATATTGGTGACCCCCACACATATAGGATGTTCTCCTGGAAGGTCATTTGTAGGGCACTGATTTGTAGCTTTGAAATGGGAGGAATCTGGAATATTCCCTAGTTTAGGTAAGATGGTTCTAACGGTGCTAAAGTGTGTGCTATTGATGTCCAAAGTCACTGCACACCTCCCTCACCCCCACCAATGTGCCTAGTACTCGCCATTGCTGGCCCCATGTCACGGCCGTTCCCGAGTGACCTCTGATCTGGCTCCCTCCCCACTGGGTAGTCAGTTCTGTGATGCAGGCCCAAGCATCTGTCAGTGTTCGGGGGCTGTCGTGCCTCTGTTTCCCTCCTGTCCCTAGGCCAGAGAGATCAGCCAGGACCTGTCCTTCTCCTCTGACATCTTCCACCTCACCTGATCCCTCGGCTGCGGCCTGCCGAGCCCCAACCTGCCCGTCTTCGCCTCCTCTCAGCGAGAGACTATTCTCGTTCCCCCCGCCCTGCCCCTGCAACCCTTGTTAGGACCCATGTGTGTGCAGAGCTGGGGCAGGCGCTGTGCGCTTATGTTCCTGCAGGAGGCAGGTGGCTTCAGGACGAGGGCGCAGTGAAAGTCCTCAGCTCACCAGGCTTCCAGGCCTTGCCTCCGAGCGGCCCTGCGCCTCGTGCCAGTCACACGGACCGCTCGCATGAGGGATCAGCTCAGAACTGCTAGTTCCGTGGTGACAGTCCTAGAGGGCGGTCACTGAAGAGGGACAGAGCAGAAGACCGTTCGGTCTTCTGTGCCTTGGCTCTGGCTAGAGGAATTGCTGGTCGTCTTTCCCAGGCTCCTGGGCGAAGGGGCACGGCCCCGGGCACAGCAGCGGCTTCAGATGGTGCCTTCCCGAGAAACTGCTTTGATAGCTGTAATTTGAGGTTTATCCTGCATGCTAGATCAAAAATTTAACCAATACATTAATCACTTCTTATTAAATTCATGAAAAATTGAAGATACTTATTTTTGTCCAAGTAATGCATGTTGATGGTTAAAAAATCAAAGTGAAGAGCTAATAACAAAAACCGACCATCCTGTGCCTGGTGTCTGCCCACCCTGTTCACCAGAGGCCACATGTGCTAATTTTAGCCATTTCTTGGGATCATTTCTGCTAGTCTTTAAATAACATGCATTATGGCTATTTCTAGACTGATCAACTTTAGATGTTCTCCATTGACATCTACCTATTGTAACTGCATTTTTAGCTCATTTTATCTGCTTCCCGCTCTCCTCCAAGTGTCATTCTATGGCTTCCTTGTTTATTGTTTGCAACTTAAATACAAATATTTATCCCTTTCTTTCTTATGGATCAGCTCTAGACCTTTAACCTCTCTTATCCTGAGGCTTTTCACTTGCATTTTCAGAACTGAAGAGGCCAAATGAAAGCATTTGGAAAATGAGATGGTTCATGGTTTGACCCTTGGGTGGTACCAAAAACCGGAAACCAATCAGGAGTTTCCTGGTTCTGACAGTGACTGATGGGGTGCGCTCAGTTTCCTTTTTCTGCTACGTCTGTCTTGCTTTGATTTTTTAACTTCTTTCCTGCATCCCTGATTACATCCCTCTACTGACTTTGTGGTACACCAAGCCAGCCTCTCTGGCCCAGCTCTTTCTTGACTTCTCTTTTCAGTCCTTCCTGGTGTCTGCTTCCTCCCTTCCTGTCTCCCTCTCTCTGCTGCAGCCCCCCCCCCCCCCAAGTAACTCCTCCAGAAAGACTGAGCTGTAACCCCTGGGTCTTTCATGCCTGAGACTGGCTTTATTCTGCCCTACATTTGACGACAAGTATCTTTATTCTTCCTGTGCCTTTGATTGTTTTAATTGCTGAGAAATGATTTTTGATCTTTCTAATCCCATCCTTTTGCTCCTCCTGTTAGATGCTTGTTGTTCCTTTTTAATCAAATTCTGCATTGTATTATTTTCATGTTTCTTATGTCTCCCTGGAGACTTAATTCATCTTCAACATGTTGAGTGTTTGGGTTTTACCTCTTTTTAGTTTTAGGAGCTCTTTATCTGTTCCCTGTGGTTAAACAAACAGCAGGGTCTGAGCTTTTTTAATGAATGTTACATTGGTGGGGTTTCTGACGGCGCTACTTAGTTTTTGAAAAATGTTCTGGGCTGGGGATGTGCTCAGGGGAGGAGGCCCTGGGTTTAATGCACAGCAATGCATGGGCCCCCAAGCACCAACAGGAGTGCCCTGGTGCTCCAGAGCACTGACATCGAGCATTGCCACCATGATCCCACTTCACTCAACAGTGAAATCATTTTCTTTTTTTTTTATAATTTTATTTATTTATTTTTTCTTCCTATATTTATTTATTGAATCACTGTGGGAAAAGTTACAAAGCTTTCAGGTTTAAGTCTCGGTCATACAATGATCAACCACCTTTCCCTTCACCAGTACTCATGTTTCACCAGCAAGAACCCCAGTATACCCCCCCACCCCTCCAAATGCCTGTGAGGCAGATGATTTCCACTTAATTCTTCTCTACATTGATTACATTCATTATTTCGACAAAAGATGCACCATTATTGTTTAGAATTTCACCCCCCAACAATCAGAATTCCTGAAAAGGCATTGTGAAATATTTTGTTTTCTATAGCTGGTTATGAGAATCATATAATGTCATATAATGATTTTGGATTTCTGCAAAGAGCCAGATCATTACGAGATTGGTTTCTGTGCATCTGGTGTTATGGCTGTGCCGGAGAGCCACTTGTGGGGGGCAACTCGTGACCTCAGTAGGGCGTAAAGGACGAGCCGGTACCGCCCCCCCCCCCTTCCCATGAGATTGCAGTTGTCCCGTCACCGCAGGCTCATACCTGGCTTTCCAATAAGCTCTGAGGCGGTGGCCACCTTATATGTGGGCCAGATGCATTTCTGCCAAAAGCCGCTGGGTTTCGAGATTTGTTTCTGAGTCTCTGGGATCATGGCCGTTAATCAGCTTGATCAGGAGCCAGAGAGGCTGTTTGTAGGAGGCGACTCGGGTTCTTGTTGGGATGGGGAGGAAAAGGCCGGTTCCACCCCCATGTGGTGAGGCCCCACACATCTCGTCACTGCAGACCCAAACCTGACTGTCCAGTGGCCTCTGGAGGATGGCAGTCACCGGGCCGCCAGGGGGAACAGGCCAAGGCATGACACCTATTCTCACCTGGAGTGGCCCAGAGTCAGTAACCTACTGCAGGAACAGGACGCATTTCTGCCAAAAGCCTTTGGGTTCCGAGATTCGTCTCTGAGTCTCTGGTATCATGGCCATTAAGCAGTTCAATCAGGAACCAGAGAGGCCATGCCTCCAATTATATAGCTGAGCTGGAGGTGGTTTGTGGGTGTGTCTCCCACATACCTAACTTTTGGCCGTTTACTTCCTTGGTAAACTTTGCTCCAAGTTTTTGGGGTCTGTTCAAAGGCACAGCAGCAATTTTGGGGTATCTGAAAGTCTGACGGTGCCATCAGGCTGCTGATGCACTCGCCTCACAGGTTCAGATTGACCTGATGGCGGCACCATACCCTCTGTGAAATCATTTTCTGAGTTTTGTTTCTTTCATTATTTTTGCTTCACTGTATCCACTTAATATTTTTGGGGGTGATTTTGCTTCTTTTGGGGGGGTGGTGGGGGGCTTGGCCACACCCAGTGTTGCTCAGGAGTTACCCTGGCTCTGTGCTCAAGGATCATTTCTGGAGGGCATCAGGGATGGCTTGTGGTGCTGGAATCTGCTGTGTGCAGGTCAAGTGCTTTAAACCTGTGCTCTCTTGTCTCTCTGGCCCTGACTTTACCTGTCAAAGGTACATCAGCTTTCATTTTTAGTTTTAGTGGTGACTAGATGGGAAAGCAGATGAGCTCACCCGTGTCCACCGTCCTCCCCAGCAGCTGCTCTCCCCTCTGCATGGGCTCAGTGAGGTGCTGGCCAGGGAAATTTGGTCCTGCTCTCCGTCTCAAAGGAGTCAGCAATGGTGTCAGAGGCCAGCCAGACAAAGGGGTGCGGCTCCCGTGACGTGCGGGAACCCCATGCGTGTGTGCAGATTTGTGAGAAGGGCTTCACCCTGCTTTGCGCTTGCTCAGGCTCCTCAAACTCTGGCACTAGTGGGGAGTGACCCCTCTCTCCGGGCATTTGGCCAGGCACCCCTGTCCCTGCCCTTGGCACTGCCAGAGAGCCTCCCGCAAGGGCAGACAAGTGACCAGCTGAGTGGGGCAGCCCTGGGCACGAGTGGAGGCAGAACCCCAGCATTCCCTGTGCGCCTGTGCGTGTGGGTCCCCTCCCCTGCCCTCGGCAAGGCTTCCCACAGAAACCGTGTTGTAATGCAGTGACTGTTCTTCTGGGAAAACATTTCTGAACCCCTGCCCTCCCGGATCAGTGCATCACGTGATTTTACTGTTTTGGGAGGGGAGGTGGGGGACTTGGAGCACACCCAGCGATGCTCAGGGTTGCTCTTGGCTTTGTGCTCAGGGATCATTCCTGGCGGGGCTCAGGGATCGCATGTGGTGCTAGGACCAAACTGGGGTCCGCCACGTGCATGTCAAGTGCCTTAAAAACCTGCCTTACAAACACACGCGAGGCTGAGCCTGGCACATCCCTGCAGGAGTGAGTGGCAGACTCGGGGCGCCTTGCAATGGGACGGCCTTGGCACTGCGCCTCCTCTCGTCAAGAGATCCAGGATCTTCTGGAGTTCGTTTGGCAAAGCCCCAAAACGGGAACCAACCAGGCCTTCAGCAAAGTCAGGGATGAGGGCAGGCCTTCCCTCAGTGGGGGCCCCCAGTGTCCGCGGAGTGTGTGGCCAACTGGCCATGCAGCGGGGCCTGCAAAGCAGCCACTGTTGGGACCTGCAGCTCTCAGAGTGGATTTGATGTGGGACAGCTGGGCTGGAAGCGAGCGGGTCTGGAGGTGCTGGCTAGCAGTGCCTGCCCCACGGAGTCCCCACCCCCGCTCCTTTCTGACCTGCTCCTCCCTCTGCTTCTGACAGACACAAACTTTGTGCTGGGGAACGCGCAGATAGTGGACTGGCCCATCGTGTACAGCAATGACGGCTTCTGCAAGCTTTCGGGTTACCATCGCGCCGAGGTGATGCAGAGGAGCAGCGCTTGCAGGTGTGTGGCCGGGGAGTGTCCACGCAGTAGCCCGTCCCCGCATGCTTGGTGCTGGGAGGGGCGTGCACACAGGCAGGTGCAGGATCGGGGGACGCGGGGGGGCCCTTGCAGCTATAAAACGGAGACCCAGGGGCTGGAGAGATAGCACAGCGGGTAGGGCGTTTGCTTTGCACGCGGCCAACCCGGGTTCTATTCCCAGCATCCCATATGGTCTCCTGAGCACTGCCAGGAGTAACTCCTGAGTACAGAGCCAGGAGTAACCCCTGTGCATCGCCAGGTGTGACCCCAAAAGCAAAAACAAAAAAAAAACAGGGACCCAGAGGTCGGCACAGAGTCCAGCAGTGAGGGCTCATGCCTGGCATGTGTTCAACCCAGGCTCATCTCCCAGCAGCACCTGGCCTCCCAGGTGTGGTTCTGGGCAGGCTGTTCTCGAGCCACAGGGCCCTTGCACTCATCCGACTGCCTGGTTGGCTGAGAAGCCCCTGTGGGGTGCCTGGACCTCCTGGCTGCCGAGTGCCTTGCATCCCCAGTTTAAGTGCTGGGGAGGCAGTAGATACGGCCGTGTGTGTGGGAGCTGGGATCAAGGGCAGGTGGCACCAAGCTGGAGGGGTGTGCGCGTGTGGGGAGCTGGCACCCCGTGGGGAATGCTGCTCTGTGGCTCTCTGCTCTCTGTGATGCAGCCGTGGGCGGAAGGCCGAGCGAGCCCTCCCTTCCCCTCCCTTCGGTCCTCAGCGCCTGGGGCTGGCTCCCCAGACTAGGCACAAGCCGGGCCCGAACCTTCCGCAGAGTTCTCCCAGAACCTTCCTTCTCCCAGAGCTGGGCCTGGGGCCGTTTCCTGGCGGGACTCAGCCGAGCGACTGAAAAGCATGACACTTTTGGGATTCTGAGCCATTTTCTTGAATTTTTGAGGTGGGAAACGGACTGTTTGAGTTCGCTGCTGCTGCCCCTCTTCTGAAAGGCCCCGAGCTGTTCTCTGAGAGCGGCACCCACTCGCCTCTGATGCTTTTTTTTTTTTTTGCCGGGGGCGGGGAGAGGCACATCCAGAGGTGCTCAGGGGTGACTTCTGGCTCTGTGCTTCAGGTTCTCTCCTGGCAGGGTTCAGTGGACCATGCAGTGCAGGGATGGGACCAGGGTGGGCTGTATGCAAGGCAGATGCCTTCACCCGGTGCTGTTCATCCCCCAGGGCAAGATTCTGATTTCCCTTCTCTGGAGGGGGGTGACCGTGTGCCTTTGTGCCCTCGATTCTCCTGCAGTTCAGGCCTGTCATGGCTGCCTGAGGCCTTGCATGCAGGTGCAGGGCTCTGAGCCCTCCCCTCCCAGCCTGCTCACAGCTGCTGTGCTCTCTGCCGCTGACTCACCTCTCATCTGCATGGGGCACCGCAGCTTCAGCAAGCAGCCCCCCCCCCCATGAACCCCCTCCCCTCCTCCCTTCCCTGCTCTCTGTTTATGTCTCTGTGTCTCTGGTCTCTGCTTCCTGTCCCCTCCCCTGCTGCTCCTCCCGTCAGCCCTTCCCGCCTGGCCTGCAGCTCCCTTGCCCCCAGGCCTGTCGGGCCCTTGGGCCCAGCTGCTGCCCACTGGGCCCTCAGGGGTCCTGCTTTTATTCTTGACAGCACGAGTTGTAAGGGTATGTGTGTGTTCATGTGTGTATGTGATATACACATGTGAGCATACGTATGGTGTCGTGTGCTTCTGTGTATGTGGTATATGTGCATGCCTCTGTGTGTGTGTGTGTGTGTGTGTGTGTTTCTGTTGGTTTGTGTGTGTATGTGGTATGAGTGTAGCATACTGATTTGTGCTTATATGCATGTGACAAATGTGTGTGAGTGTATGTATGCTACACGCATGTAGATGGTCATATGTAGTGTATGTGTGTTTGTGTGTTTCGTGTGTATAGAATAGGTATGAGAACGCTTATACACTTATGTGAGAGTGTGTATGTGAGTATGTGTTTACGTGCCTGCATGTCATGGGCATGCTTATGTGCATGTACACTTGTTTGAACCCACAAGGTGCCAAGCACAGTATGCACATGTGCTTGTCTGTGTGACTGTTTGCCTTTTGTGTATGCATGTAAGCGCATTTACGTGTGTGAGCATGTGCACACATGTCTGTGTATGTGTGCGTGTTTGTGTGTTCCTGTTCATGTGTGGGAGTGTGTGCATGGCAGTGCCGCAGCCCAGCAGACAGATGATCCTTAGTTGGGGAAGTGTTCGTGTTCCAGGGCAGTGTCCCCACACTGTGCCCGTCCCTGTGCTGATCGGCTCTGTTGCTCCTCAGCTTCATGTACGGGGAACTCACAGACAAGGACACCGTGGAGAAGGTGCGGCGGACGTTCGAGAACTATGAGATGAATTCCTTTGAGATCCTCATGTACAAGAAGAACAGTGAGTAGCAGCCAACACTCTAGGCCCTGGCTTCCTCCTGAGGTTCCCATGTGTTGACTCCCCGCTCGCCGTACCCCTGCACACTCCTCACCTCACCCCTGCACATCCCTAACCCGCCCCTCACCCCAACCTCCAGTCCTCACCCCAGCCCTCGCCCTAACCCTCACCCCACCCTTTCCTCACACCACCCCTGCACACCCCCTCACCACACCCCTGCACATCCCCCACCCCAATCCTTCATATCCCTTCATCCCAGTCCTCCAACCACCCCATCCCTGCAGTCCCTCACCCCGCCCTCTACACCCGCTCATCCCAACCCTCCACACCTTCTCACCCCAACTCTGTACCTCCCCATTACCCCAGCCCTCCATGCCCCCAGTCTTCCGACCCTGTCTCCCAGAACATTGGCACACTCGATTTTGGGTAGCATCTGCCTGCACTGGTCCAGACTTCTCCCTGTACTGAGGGGACTGGCATCTGCACTTGCCTGTCCAGAAGGCACTGGACGGAGACTGGTGCAGACCCTGGGGTCAAGGAGCAGAGGGGAATGAGCTCTGCTGGAGGACAGCAATCCCTTCAGGAAGAGAGGGAAAAGGAGGTGAGGGCCCCAGGGAGGAGTCAGAGTGCTTTCCTCCCAGAGGAACCCGCTGCCCGGAGTCTGGGAAAGGGCTGCCTCAGGACAGGAGACTGGGCCCTTCCCAGGTGAGAGCCCAGGAATTGGCAGACGTGCAATCAGACCCTGGGACCCAGACCCAGTCTGAGAGGTAGATGGAGATTGGACCAGCTGGGGACCGAGAGATTGTGTGCAGCTGACTTGGGTTCGGAACCCTCCGTCACATATGGTCCCCCACCTCCACCAGTGGTTATCCCTGACCATTGCTGGGCGTGGCCACCAAACAAAAGCAAAGCCAGTAGATTGGATGCAGCAGACCTGACCCAGCTGAAGGGGACAGGAGGTGCCCACATGGGGCTCCCGTGTCAGACCCGCCCGTGAGTGGACTTCGAAGCTTCCAAGCTGAGGGGCATCTTCTGGTCTCACTTCAGGACAAAATCCTCTCTTTGGGGTGAAAGGGCAGCCTTGCCTTCTGTCCCCCCAGACCCTCCAGTGGCCAGGGCGTGGTGTGTCCTGTCACGTCCTGCTGCTCCTTGCATATAGGCTGTCAGGCAGAGCCTGGGCAGCTCCGCCCCTGCTGCTCACTGTGGTCCTGGAAGTGGCTCTTTTTCCAAACACCTTTGCTCCGGGAGACACTGGGATGTTTGTACTGCAGCTGGAAACCCCAGGAAGAAGCCGGACAGCGGCTGTGGCTGCTTCTGGAGGGATCTCAGAGGGCTAGGACTGAGGGGGAACCTGACCCCCTTCCTTCTGTACCCCCAAAGTGCTCCATGTGACCCTCTGAATGAGAGGCCCGGAGTCTCACTGCGGAGAGGGGTCTGCACCCTCTCACGTCTGTGAGGGCCCAGGGGAGAGCCCCAGGTGCTGTTGGGGGGCTCTTCCCAGGACTGAGACCCGGACTTTGTGATGCTGTGACTCCTGGGTTAAAGGAACATGGCAGGAGTGGCACCCGCCCGCACTCTGGGAGCCAGGCTCCCCCACGTGCCCCTGGAGGGGACTCTGAGGCCCTGCCTCAGCTGTGAGTCCAGCATGACTGTGAGTCCAGCACGAGCCCAGGCCGAGGAGAATGTCCCTGCTACATGCTGTTTGGCCTCAGGGGCGGCCGTGGCCCTATGTCTGGGCTGAATGATCGAGGCGGTCCTGGGAGCATTCAGCCTGCCCTCCCTCTGGCCAGGGGCCCTGCATGACCTGCCCCTCTCCTCTGTGTGTCCTGTCTGTTCTCCCAGGCCTGGGAGGGTGCCGGCACCCTCCTGCGGGCCATGCAGGGGCCCCTGGATGGGGCGCTGTTTGGACCCTGTAGTACTCGGGCTACTCAGCCTCCCAGCATGTGCTTGGCACCTCTCGAACCACAGCCCAGACTGCACCTGGTAGTGCTCTGGGCCGTTCTGTGCCGAGCACAGGAGCAGTGTGGCCTTGACCTCTTCACCGTCCGTCCAGCTCTGGTTACACATCAGTCTAGCAACAGGGGTGGGCAGCCGGCAGGCGCCAGGGAGCTGCAGGGCCCCCCGCGCTGTGCCTTGGTGGGCGCTCTGCTGGGAGGCCACTGCCTTCTCGTCCTCCTTCCTGGCCTCTCTTTGTGTTTTTCTTTAGGGGGGGCACTTTCTGCTCCGAATGGGGGTCTGACCGCCGTCTCCAGGGCTGTGGGGGTTTGGCCATGGGTGCTGGTAGGCCTGGCTGCCTTTCCTGTTCCCACAGGCCTAACTCCAGCCAGAAGAGTCTGGTGGTACAGGCGTGCCCAGGTGTGCGGGGCCTCTGTGCCAGTCTCCCCACCCTGAGCGTGCAGGGCTGACCCTCTTCCTCTCTCCTCAGGGACCCCTGTGTGGTTCTTTGTGAAAATTGCCCCAATTCGCAATGAGCAGGACAAAGTGGTCTTATTTCTCTGCACGTTCAGTGACATCACGGCATTCAAGCAGCCCATCGAGGACGACTCATGCAAAGGTATTTGGGAGGGCCAGGGCTGCCCCTCCATGTACGGTCCCTCTCTCCGTGTGCTGCAATTAGGACTCCCTTGGGGGCCTCAGAGGGGAGCACGAGGCTCTCACTGGACACACCCAATGTTGGGTTGTCCCTTGGGCACCAGGCCACCCCACATGGTCAGCTTCCAGCCCTGTGCAGGGACAGGAAGGGCGACCTTCTTGCTGGTCTGTGGCAGAGCCTGCTGCTGGCCATGGCCACTCCACTTTGCAGTGGGTCACCGAGGCGCAGGCATGCCGCGTGGGCGGCCGGCGCGCCCTCTGGGGGCAGAGAGGCCAGGCTCTCGAGCCTCCAGCTTTTGCAAGAGCAGACCTGTCCCCACAGGCACCCCAAATCCAGTCTGGCCCTGAGTCCTAAATCTGGGGCGGCTGCTGGGGCTGATGGGGAGGCACCCTGAACCCCCGAGTCAGAGACTGCACAGCAGGGACTGCCTGGCTAGGCTGGAGCTGGCAGGAGAGAGCAGGTTCTGACTCTGTGCCTTGGTTTCCCTGTCTGAGTAGTGGGACTAGCCTGCCCAGCTCTGTCCAGAGCCCCACGAGGATGTGTGTGTGTGTGTGTGTCTGTGTCTGTGTCTGTGTGTGCATGTGTGGGTGCTGAGGGCAGCTGTGTCTGTGTCTGAACAGTGGGTTCCAGTGGGTGCCCTGGACTTGCTCCCAGGACCCAGTGGCGCTGTCTGGGGTCAGGGTGGGTGTGTGCCTCAACTCTGCCTCTGACCTGCGGTGCCCTTGTCCCTGCAGGCTGGGGGAAGTTTGCCCGGCTGACCAGAGCGCTGACTAGCAGCCGGGGCGTCCTGCAGCAGCTGGCGCCGAGCGTGCAGCGGGGAGAGAATGTGCACAAACACTCCCGCCTGGCCGAGGTGAGCCCCAGCTCGGGGGAGATGCAGTCCTGCCTTCTCTGCCTGTCCCAGGGAGGCCACTCTGGGGCTGGTGCCCTCTGCGGGACACGTTCAGACTGGCCTCAGCGCATTTCTGTCAGTGGGGCCAGGCATGCTCCAGCAGGAACGGCCACTCTAGGGTGTGCGAGGGATCAGGTGGAGCTGACCAGGAGTGCCAGAAGTGTGGACCCCCATCTCAAGGGACCCCTCTGAGATGCCACCCCTCCTCCATGTGCTCAGCAGCCAGTGCTCAGTGGCCGTCTGGATTTCTCCTTTCAGTTCTTTCCCTCCCTGTTGGTGTTCAGAAGGATTCAGAAACAGATTCTGGGGGCTGGAGTGATAGCACAGTGAGTAGGGCATTTGCCTTGCATGCGGCTGACCCGGGTTCGATCCCCGGCATCCCATATGGTCCCCCGAGCACTGCCAGGAGTAACTCCTGAGTGCAGAGTCAGGAGTAACCCCTGAGCATCACTGGGTGTGACCGAAAAAGCCAGAAAAAAAAAAAGAAAAAAAAAGAAAAGAAAAAGAAAAAGCGATTCTGTGGCTCCCAGAGCAGAGTGACGTGGCATAGACCGCTGTGTGGGTTCAGGTGTTCAGATCAGCCAGGCAGCCACCACTGCAGCCTGCATTCTCACAGAACATCCTGGTTCCCTCTTTGTGGTCTAAAAGTTTGGTTTGGTTTTCATTTGTAAAATTAGTTCTTCACCAGATCTTCAAGTGTAGAGGAATACAGTGAAAAAAGTGAAGTGTTCACCGTTCCTCAGGTTTGCACCATACCCTGCAATCTTAGGGATGACTCTTGGTTCAGTGCTCAGGGAACACCCCACAGTGCTCAGGGTTGACTACTGATCACTCCTGTTGGGGCTTAGAGGAACTCTTTGTGGTGCCGGGGAGTGAGCCAGGGTCAGCCACTTGCTTAATATACTTTTCTAAAACAAAGATGTAGACATCCTGTATGATATATCCCAATTTCCTTTTTTTATTACATTTAAATCTGTTTGGGAATTTTCCTTGAGGTGCTTTGAGAGAAGAAACTCATTTTTCCTTCAAAGCTGCTGTGTCTGTCTGGGTGGCAGACCGCACCAGGTCCTGGAGGAGTCTGGATCTCAGGAATCCGGCAGGTCAGACCCGGCCCACGAAGCCTCCTTGCGGGCATCTTTTTTGGTTTTTCCTTTTGGCTTTTATTATTTTTTTGCGGGGGGCACACCTGCAATGCTCAGGGGTTCCTCCTGGGTCTGCACTCAGGAATCACTCCTGGTGGGCTTGGGCTGGTATTTTTGGCCTTAATTTAGAATTCCTCCAGAACATCAGAGAGGTTTCATCTGTCATAAAATAAGCATTTGTGTTTTCATGCTGTTTCCTTCCTCAGTCAGTTCCCAGTTTCTTCCTTTCACAGGCAGCAGTTTTACAAGTCAAGCTCAGAGCTCTGGAGAGTTCAAGCCCGGAACTTGTTTCTCTGCTGCTGGCGGTTGTGCGGTTTCGTCCTGTGGTTCTGTCCACAGGCACGCGTTGCTGTGTGCTTGTGGCTGTGCACACGTGGTCGCACGGTGCCAGTTTCCCACTGGCATCTTATCCTGGTTTTCTTCCGGAAGTGAGGAGAGCTTTTCAGAGTTGTAGAACCAGTCAGGTGGCTGTCCTCACTGTAAACACCTTACATAAGCGCAGCCGGCAGCCAGTCAGGACCCAGCCGAGAGCCGAGAGCCGCCCCTGTGCTGCTCCCATCCCCGAGGAGAGGCTCCCGCCTGGGTGTGCTGGCCGCAGTGGCTTCTCTGACAGGTCTGAGGAGCTGCCTGCCATCCCCCCAAGTGTCCTGCTCCATGTGTCCACCTTCCACGTGGCCCTCCTCCACGTGACCTTCCCCACAAATTCCTCCTCCACGTAGCCCTCCGCGTGGCCCTCCTCTACGTGTCTCCTCCACGTATTTACCTTGCACATGGCCTCGCGGGGCCCCCCTCCGCATGTCCACCCTCCGGTCCATTTTTGCTATCTGAGTCTCAGCCCCTCCTGCCTCCGGTGGCTCCTTTCTGTTGGCCCCAAGTGCTCCTGCGGCCGGGAGCAGGAAGGACGGCGTGTGTGGCGAGGAGGGGAAGGGGGCGGACACCCAGGGGGAAGAAACGGTCTGGCTCCCCTGCACCTTCGCTCTGTCCACACCGTAGCCAGGCCGCTCGGCTGGCTCTGCTCAGGTGCCGACCCCTTGTGCGTTCTTGTGGGGCTCAGAGGAACTCTGTGTGGTGCCGGGGAGTGAGCCAGGGTCAGCCACTTGGTCTGGTGGCACATGTTGAGCTTATGGTGGACTCACATGTCTGCTGCTTCTTTGGGCAGCCCCAGGTGCCTGTCATCTCCGGCTACTCCCAGATCATTGAGCCCTGACCTGCTCTGCTCACCACCCCCATCGGCCGACAGCTGGACTTTGCCTCATGAGGCATTCCAGGGGCCACCTCCCTTCTAGTACCTTCCTTGCCACGGGCCAGGGGCACTGAGCATTCTTGCTGCGGGGGATGTTCTTGATGTATGCAGTCTCTGACCACAGTCTTCCAGGAGGGCTGGGAGCCTCCAGGCTACACTTCCCTCGGACCACTGGCACCACACAAGGCCCAGATGGTGCTGCCGGGCATCCACGCAGCCAGTGAGGGAGAAGGTCTTGGTGGCCACTTCCTCGTGGCCCCCAGGAGTGGTGAGTCGCGCCCCCCGCCCCGTCTCTTCTCTATAACAGGCCTGCACTAGGGGCTGAAGTGTTCCCCAGAAGAGGGAAGGGGTCCAGGGGAAGGAGACTCCCCTCCCCACCGCTGCCCCAGGGGCGGTGCCCAAGACGGGGCCATGGTGTCGAGGCTGAGGGTTCGCAGCCCTGGTTGTTGTTATCTTCTGCAGAAGATCAAATACATCATGGAAAACGGCCTATAAATAGGTGGGACAGAGCCAGCAGGCGGTGGGGGTGCAGTCTTGTGGGTCAGTCAGAGGCTGACCCACACCCGAGCCTGTGCCTGCAGCCCTGGTGACCGGCCATGCCTCCTGCTCAGTTTCTGCCCAGCACTGTCCTCTCCTCCTGGCCACCAGTGCCTCGTTTCTAGGGGGTGTCTGGGTGCCGTGCTTGGAGGAGGGGAGGGCTCAGCGCCGAAGGGGTGCGCAAGGGCCGAAGGCAGCAGGGACGGGTCTGTGGGGGCTCAGGAGCCTGGTGGTGGGAAAGTGGAGAGGCCCTGGACCCCGCTCAGAGCAGCTCTTGTGCCACGGTGGTTGGAGGGGACAGCAGACAGGCCCCTGGGTCTGGGCCCCGCTGGCCAGCAGCACCTGCAGACGCCGAGTGTGTCCTCGGTTCTGGGGTGCCATCTTCCCACAGAGCAGCTGTGCCAGGGATCCCAGTGCGGTTTGCAAAAGAGCCCCCCGAGATGTCCCGTCCCCCTCGCCTGGGACGTTATTGCCCGTTTGACCTTCTTCGCACCCCCACAGGACACCCGCCGGACGTTAGAGCCCCTCTGGGTTTCCCCGGCCCCACAGCTTCGCTGCTGGCCCAGGTGGGCTCCTCCCCCACCCACGGGCCTACTGCAGTGGACGCCCCGCAGGGTCCTGCCTGCTCTCCCCGGCCTTCGCCCCCTCCTCTGCCTGGGCGTGGAGAGCTTGGGGACTGCGTCCTGGGGTCCCAGAGTCCCTAGAAGTGCCGGGCGTGTGGCTCCCTGCTGCTCCCCCGGCAGATGGTGCCTTCGTGCTTCTGCCCTCCTCTCACTCCTGTTCCCGATGCTTTTTTTCTTGTTTGCTTCTGGTGCCCCTCCTGGTGGGGCTCTGGGATTGAACTGGGGTTGGTGGTCTGCGAGGCAACCGCCTTCCCCGAGCTGGTCCTCTGCCCACTCCCTGACCATGCTAACCTTGGGAGGGAGCCCCGATCGCAAGCTGCTTGCTGGAGCTTCCCTCTTCCCACCAGAACCTTCACAACCTGCCTGTTCCTTTCGTCGCCCAGAACCCCGCCTGCTGGCCGGCTGGGCCTTTCTGGGGTTGACAGTGCACATATGCACACAGATCTGTCATCGAACTCCCTCCGCTCCTCCTGGGCAGCCTTCCTTTGCCTGTGGGCCTGTTCCACTCCCCTCTGAGCCGATCTGCAGGGGCTCAGCTTAGTGCCAGGAGGGCCCAACTCAACCCTGCCACTGCCCCACGGCTAGAGCCTGCCAAGTCCGTCCCCACCCCCAGCCCTGCTTGTGCCGCTCACGTGCTCACGCACCCACACATGCGTGCACTCTTGCCTGGAGCTGGTGGCCCGGCCTCCTGCCTGCGCTCAGCGTCGCTCCTGCTCCAGCTCTTGCCCCTCACTGGGACCCAGGGCATGGCACCGTGCAGGCCTCTGAAGCTGGGGGTCCCCGCCTGCCTGGCAGTGCCCAGGGGGGCCTGAACCTGAGCCCGGCAGCCGTGAGGCCAGTCCCTGCTGCCCTTCTGCTTTCGGGCTCCTCTCCAGGTGGGCCGTGACATGCCTGTCGTGGCCCGTGGGTAAAATACCCTCTTCTTCCACCGCGGGCCTCGTGTCCCCTTTGCAGGGCTGGCACGGTCTGGGCAGCCGCGCTGAGGGTCTGGGCCGGGAACTGGTCCCTCTGCCTCTGTCCCTGGGGCCGCCGCTCATGGACTCCGGAACGCCCACACGTGCCTGCCGTCTCAGTCCCAGTGCTGAGGCCCGGGCCCTCACGCACTGAGCCGTCTTCCCTGCTCGGAACATCTTGATCTCCGTTTCCAGCATCTCACGGTGTCCACTGTCTGCGCCCCGCGGTTTCCCACACCATAGCCTGAGTACTGCCGGGGGCTGCTGCCGGTGGGGCCGCGTGATTTGGGTGTTCACTGTAAAGAGGAAAGTGTAGTGGCAGGCCACGTGTCCCGGTGCAGTCACTCAGCTGTGGAAAGGATCCCAGGCACTCCCCAGGGATGTCTTGTGGAGACCATTGTGTGGTTCGCATACAGAAATAGCTTTTTATCTTTCTTCCTGATCTGGATGCCTTCCCTTCTATTTCCCTCCTGTACTGCAGTGTTAGAATCACACAGAAGAAGTGTAGCGTAGGCTTTTTCTTGATCACAGGGGCAAAATTTTCACCATTAAATCTGATTTTATTGGGATGGTATCTTTAGTAGTTGCTATTTGTCACATTGAAGGTCTCCACTCCTGTATTTTTTTTTCTGAGTTTTTATCACGAATGGGTGTTGGATTTTGTCGAAGGTTATCTCTACGTCACTTGATAGGGTTGCCGGGTTTGCCGCTGCGGTGAATGGCACTGATCACTTCTGGAGTATGGAACCAAGCGGTGGGCATATACCGCTCTCGTCATTCTCTTGACATAGCGTGCGATCCTGTTGGCCATTGTTGGTGAAGGAACCTTGCGTCTGTGGGAGAGACTGGTGTGTGGCTTCCTCCTCTCTCCTTTTGTTGCTCTGTCTTTGCCTGACTCACGCTTCCGAGTAGTGTGCTCGCTAACACAAAGAGCGGAGAAGCTCTCCCTCTGCCACTTTTGGGTGAGGATCATGGGAATTTGCTGCTAATTCTCCTCTTAAGTTCTCCTTCCCTCTCCCCCCCTCTGCTCTTTATCTTTATTACCTGTTAAAAGCACCTGCGCCTGCAGACTTCTGTGTGGGCAGTTTCAGAGTGATTCACTGAGTCTTCTGCTGCATTTTCTGAGCGCCATTTCCTCTGTGTTGTCAGATCCACGCAGTTGGTTGGACCTTCCACTGTTGCTGTTGAGTATCTAAAATGGACCTAGAGTTGTGTATTTTTCATTCATCAGATGGGTGACTTGAGTCTCTGCCTTCTCTTTTTTACAGTCTCGATGCAGATTTTCAGTTTTATTCTTGATATTTGTCCCCCAAAAGTGATCTCTGAGCACAGAACCAGGAGTAACCCCTGAACATTTTTTTTTGTTTTATTGATTCTTCAAAGACCACCTGTTCTCTTTCTTTCCCTCTTTCATTCTCTCTCCCTCTCTCCCCCATCTCCCTTTCTCCTTCTCTCTCCCTCTCTCCTCTTCTTTCTCTCTCCCTCTCTCGCCCTCCTTCCTTCTCTTTCTCTTTCTCTCCCTTCCTCTCCCCCTCTCTCCTTCTGTCCCTCTCTCTATTTCTCTCTCCTTCCCTCTCTCCCTCTCTCTCCCTCTCTCTCTCTCTCCCTCTCCCTCTCTCGTTTCAATGTTAGCAGCTTCTGCTCTTTATCATTTCCTCTTATCCTCACCTCGTTCTATTTTGACCTCTCCTCTGAGGTCCCTCGAGTGGGACTCACACTGCAGATCCAAGACTTCCCCCTTCCCTTGAGTAAACATTTTTTTTATTGTTTGTTTTTTGAGTCACACCCAGTGGTGCTCAGGGCTGACTCCTGGCTCTGTGCTCAGTCATCACTCCTGTTGGGGCTTGGGGGACCCTAGGGAGTGCTGGGGACTGACCCTGGCCGAGTAAATGCGAGGCGAGTGCCCTCCCCCGTCCTCTCTCTCCAGCCCTCCTTAAGAAAATATTTCTTGAGAATTTGCCTTTCATTGGCATTCCCCCCAATTTTGATCTGCGGTTTGACTTGCCCTGAGTTTACTGTGATCTAGGCCCCCATCCCCCAGCCCTTCTCCTTGGCCCACAGAGGGTTTGGCAGCGTGGCTTGGACTCGAGGCTTCTTGCTCCCTGTTGTCTCTTCCTGGGAGCAGTCGCTCTGAAGCTCGGTGCTGGTGTGTGTGTGAGGTTTGGGGGCACCGCCCGGTCTGCGCGGATCACCCCAGCTCCTCAGGGTGGTGAGTCTTTCAATCGTGGCCAGTGCTCCAGATTCTCCTTGCTTGTTTTGCGTTCTTGCAGAGTCGGGGAGAGGGGTTCCAGTGATTTATCAGACCCTGGCCTTCGGCTGCGCTCTCTGCGGTGCTTGCCCTCAGGCTGCCACCACTTCTCACCCGACTGCACATTCCACACTCCTGCTCAGAGCTGACCATTGCTCCTGTTTGGTCCTGCCTGCTCTGGCCCTGCCCTCTGCATCCTCCTGGGCCAGCCCTGGGGGCTCACCCCACCCCGCAGTGCTCTGAGTCGGGCCGGGATGTGGGGCCCATGTTGCTGGGCCAGCCCGATGGGCAGTGGAGGGCATTGCGCCTGCCTGTTGTGGTGATCATCAAGGCCACAGGGTTCGTAAGTGTGTCAGTGTTGGGAGAGTCCCTGACACCGTTGCCCCCAGCAGGTAAGAAGCACCTGCTGTTGTTTGTGATATCTTTTCAATTTGATTTTCCTCTTTTCATTTGGGCACCAGAACCGACAAATCTGCTGCTAACAGGGTTCCTGGCATTCAGTACCCCCATGCCAAACACCTGACCCTGTCAGCATTATCTACCAGGGACCCCTGACTCTCTCCTTGCCATCACCTCCGTGGCAGACAGTCTCGCTGGTCTGGGTGGTGTGCTCCATGACTCAGTGCCCCCATTCCTGAGCTGTCTGGATCCATCTCCAGTGCCAGCCTCATCCTGGAGTCTTGTCCTGGTCACATGGGCCCTGGGCTTCGCCATCATTCACCTTCCATGCCCCTGTCCTCTCGCTGTGCCCCCGACCCCAGTATGTGAGCTCCTCCAGTGTCTCTCTTTCTCCTGCCACTGACTTGGCTTAGCAACCCCGTCCCTCCAACCCAGCCATCACAGGCATGTGGTTTCCGAGCAGAAGCCTGGCCCATTGTGCCAGCAGATGGTCATGCCACATGCCACTTCTCGGCGTGTGCCCCCCAGACAGAAGCCTTTAAGGCAAAGATAGACGTAGAGCGGGGCTGGAGGGCAGGGCAGTTAGCGCAGCCGGCAATGCACATCGCTGACCTGGGTTTGATTCTTGCCATCCCATAGGGTCCCATGAGCACTGCCAAGAGTGATTCCTGATGGGGCTGGAGTGATAGCACAGCGGGTAGGGCGTTTGCTTTGTATGCGGCCGACCCAGGTTTGATTCCCAGCATCCGATATGGTCCCCCGAGCACCGCCAGGAATAATTCCTGAGTGCATGAGCCAGGAGTAACCCCTGAGCATCGCCGGGTATGACCCAAAAAGCAAAAAAAAAAAAAAAAAAAGTGATTCCTGAGTGCAGAGCCAGGAGTAACCCCTGAGCATCGCCAGGTGTGACCCAAACACAAACAGAGTAGATCACCACGTTCGCTGCGGCGCTCAGTCCCACGGCCAGGCCAGAGGAGCCACGGGACTCCGTGGATGATGGAGAAAGGGGCTGTAGCTTGTGTGCCCGGGGGTGGGCTGCAGCGTGGGTAGAGGAGCCACTAGCCTTGGTGCCCTGGGCTCACCCAGTCCTCTGAGCCGGGGACTCCCGGGAGCGTCGTGGTGCCTGACCGCTCTCTCTGGCCTGCTCGCGGACAGGTGCTGCAGCTGGGCTCCGACATCCTCCCCCAGTACAAGCAGGAGGCGCCCAAGACTCCGCCCCACATCATCCTGCACTACTGCGTGTTCAAGACCACGTGGGACTGGGTCATCCTCATCCTCACCTTCTACACGGCCATCCTGGTCCCTTACAACGTCTCCTTCAAGACCAGGCAGAACAACGTGGCCTGGCTGGTGGTGGACAGCATCGTGGATGTCATCTTCCTGGTGGATATTGTGCTTAACTTCCACACCACCTTTGTGGGGCCAGCGGGGGAGGTCATCTCTGACCCCAAGCTCATCCGCATGAACTACCTGAAGACGTGGTTTGTCATCGACCTCCTGTCCTGCCTGCCCTACGATGTCATCAATGCCTTCGAGAATGTGGACGAGGTTAGTGGCTCTGTGGGTGGCCTCGGGAAGAGTGGCTTTGCTGAGCAGACCCCGACACCCCTGGAGGGGAGAGAAAGCCAGGTACATGCCACCAGCCTCGAGCGAATGCCGTGGGAGACGGGCGGGGCATGCAGGGTGCAGGGCCTGCTGGCCATGGCCTGTCTGGGGCGGTTGCACGGGCCACAGCGGGTGGGGACGTGGCTGCTAGTGTCTGCCTGCTGGTGGCCCCTGTGTGGCTGACCTGGCTGTTTCCAGAGCTCACCTGGGCATCAATGCTGTCTACTCCTGTCCCCCACATGCCCTGCACTCCTGCCCTGTCCCATGCCCCACTCCTGTTTGGTTGTAAATGCTCAAAGCTTGAGTCGTTTGTTGGAGGGCTCCCCAATGTTGCTCTGGAGGGCCAGGATCCCAGTCTCCCGGCCGTGGCTTTTGCATAGGGGCCCACGGGTGCTGCTTGGGCTTCGCGGGGCCAGGGACCCCCAGGCTGTCCCAGGAGTCCCCAGAACCTTTGGGAATGGAAACTGCTCAGAGGCTGAACTGTTTCCCAGTCCCACGAGTCAGTTCTTGTGGTGAACAGCGGTGTTCAGGGTGGGGTGCCTGCCCCCCAGGCACAGACAGGGTCCTTCTGGGTCCTACTGCCTTGGGAGTGGGGTGTGGCCGGGGTGCTTAGGGCATGCTCAGACAGTTTGGACCGGGGCATGTAGTGACAGTCCTGCTGAGCCATGGCCAGCTCCCAGGTCGGCACGGCTGCTGAGTCACGGCAGGAGAGTCCGACTTGGCCTCCTCCCATATTCTATGGCCAGAGCAAACACTTAGTTCTGCTCTGCAGGGCTCTGCATGTGGCAGAGCCCGGCAACCGGTGCCCCGGGCTGCACACCCTGCAGGACCTGGGTCAGCCCCAGCAGGTCAGCCAGATCCTCTGGAATCAAGACAAGACACGCACAGAGAGTGGGCAGGACAGCTGGCCAGGGCCCTCAGCTTCCCCAGCTGAGGCAGGTGGCGGCCCTGGCCCTGGGCTTGACCTGGCGTGGCAGCTTGTGGACACCTTGTCTGTGGACCAGGGTAGATGCATCATTTGTGATCGTTGCTCTGTGGCCCAAGTCTCCCTGCGTGCGGCCAGTACACTGTGGGGTGGCACTGCCTGTGGTTTAGATGGATCTGTTGGGAGCCTCCTAGACCCACGTGGTTTCCGAGCAGAGGCCCGGCCCATTGTGCCAGCAGATGGTCAGGTTATGGTGGCCGACTGTGTGTGTGTGTGTGTGTACGTGACAGGTGGGTGGGTCAGGGCTGTCAGGGGCTCTACAAGCACAGGGACCCTGCCTGACAGCCCCCAGCACGCAGGTGGAAACCTCAGGAGCCTGCGTGGAGGCTCACAGAGCAGCCCCGGGCTGCCTCCCTGGCTCTGCTGTGTTGGGGACAGCAAACTCGGGTCCGTGTCCAGAGCGTGCTTCTGGAGACACTCCCAGCTGCCTGTGTGCGAGGGTGGGGGCGCCTGTATCTCTGTCTGCCCTTCCCTGCTGAACCCTAGCTCTGGCAAAGACGAGGCTTGGACGGGGGCACGGATGGCGGGAGGGGGTACATGTCCTCATGTCTCACTGCAGGCCTGTCTGTGCCCTCTAGGTGAGGTCTCTGGGAAGAGTGGGTACTGTGTGAACTCAGCAGCTCCCCCATTTCCCAGCGACCCCAAAACCACAGAGGGGGAGGGTGAGGTCATGAGCAACAGGGGGCGCTAGGGAGGTCAGTGGCTGGGCTTGCCCCGGTCTGGTCCCTGAGGCCCACAGCTCATGTCCGGAGAGGCCGAGAGCTGGGATGTCACCCCATTCTGACCCTGAGTCATGTGCTGCCTGGGTGTGTGTGTGTGGGAGCAGGAGCGGGTGGGTGGCCATTTCTTACCATGGGCTGTTGCTGATCTTGGGTGGCTTCCAGGAGGAGGTGACTCTCCACAGAGAGACGGGATTGTAGAGCTGGAGCATGTGGGCCTTAGGCTGAGGGTCACCCTCTGGCACCAGACAGGCTCAGTGGCTGCGTTGGAGCCCTGTCCCCTCTCTTCCAATCCTCTCCAGCTTTTCAGCTTTTCGGTGGTGACTTCTTAAAAGCAGCCTCTCCTCCTTTCCTTGCTCCTCGCCCATGGGGGTGAGGGTGGGGGAGTCTTTGCACAGGGCAGAGCCTGAGAACTGGAAGGGCTCCTATCTGCCGTCAGCTCAGGGGGTCTTCCCTGATCAGGAATCAAGAGGCCCAGGTATGCTTTCTGGAGGGAATGCTTGGGAAAGGACCCTGAGGCGTGTGGAGACTGTGCCCTGAGCTGAGCCACCTTGGTTGAAGCAATCAGAGGTGGGGGCCCCTCTTCTTCTCTGTCTTCTCTGCCTCCCTGCCCAGCTGGACTTGTCAGATAGTGCTCCTGCAGGAGGGCACTTGGAGTCTTATTTGCTCTGTCACTCCTGGCTCTGTGCTCAGGGTCTCTCTCAGAGGTGCTCGGGAGACTGTGTGGTCCCTGGTGGCACTGGGGTAGACTGCAGGTAGCGTGGGCGCTGGCCACTGCACTCTCTTGGGTCCCTGTCCTGGACTCAGCGTCAGTGGCTTCTTGGCCGGTTTCCTGGCCAAGTCCTGCTGTCCTTTTTGGCACGGCCTGGCGGCTGGCTCAAACGTGGTTGGTCCATCTCTGCCCAGCAGCAGTGCAGGCCTGACTTCTCTGCACACTTGGCCCGTGGCCCACCCCCAGCGTGGCCTCCGCCCCCCTCACCACATTTCTGGGCCTCTTGCCGGGTCCTTGGTGCCTCTGCTGGAAACTGCTTCTGTTTCTCGTGCCTGCCTCTGGCCCCTCTGTTCTTCCCACTTCTATTTCCCCCACGACATTCCATTGTTTATTGTTCCTTTAATCTTCTCTCTAGCTTTTTGGCTGTGTTATTCTTTTCGTTCTTATCCTAAGGAGATTACAGTCAGATCTCCCATATTAAAGACTACATTTTTGCCACTTTTCAAAGAGTAGGTTTACAACAGTTCTTTCTAAATGCCTTCTGTACCACCATGTCTGATACAACCCTATAAGCCTTCGTTACTATTGCTTTAACTTGCCAGTATTTTCATATTCATTTGCTTTTACTCTCTTCCCTTGGTTTTCTTTAGTTTTCTTTCAGACTGAAATTGTCCTTGAGTTTTCATCACCGTATGAAAGTCCTCCCGTTCTGCCTGTGTCTTTCTGGCGGGCCGGCCTTCACACTGTCTTTCAGCTGTCCAGCTGTGATCTTGCTGCTGGGATCAGCTGGTGTTTGCCGCAGGTCTCTTGTGCCACTGTCTGTGGCCCCCCAGCGCGCCCTCTTTGCTTTTTTTTTTTCAGTTTTGACTGAGTAAGCAGCATTGTTTATGTTTCTTTCTTCCCATTTGCTGAACTTCAGGATTTTGTGGCTGATGACTCTGAGTTTTGGGCGAATCCCAGCCCATGCCTGCTTGCTCCTTCCTCGGGCCCACGTGGGGTAGCAGCTGCGCCGGTTGTTCTCGGGTGCCCTGTCTCTCCTCTCACAGAGAGGAGGTCTTTGTCGCTTTCTGTCAGGGTGCCTGCGAGCCCTGGGGGCCCTCAGTGGTGCCCGCGTTCCTTCTCTGCGTGCACAGACTGTCTACATCCTTCTGAGAAGCTGTTTCTGCCACCACAGGCAGGTGCCTAGTCCTGCCTTGGGTCTTGTTTGCAGTTGTTTCCCGGGTGCTGAACTTCTGGCTCTGGCTCTGTGAAGGGGCTCAGGGTCACATTCCTGAAGTACAGAGCCGGGGGACAGGCATGGGATGGTGGGTGGGCGGGGGAATGCGGGGTGCTCCTGACCTCCTACTGTGCCGGGTTGGGGGGGTCCTGGCTTCCTGTTGTGCCGGGGGGGGCATCCTGGCCTCCTGCTGTACTGGGTGGGGTGGGTCTCCGATCTCCTGCTGTTCCCAGTTGGTCCCAGTGCTGTGACAGCTCAAGTCCAAGGCCGCAGCCTGGAGCCAGCTGCTGGGGTGGGGGAGAACAGGCCTGGCTGTTCGAAGTCCCCCATCTGTGTGCCCCATCTTGTGCTCTCTGGAGCACAAGGAGGAGACCCCTGCCTGTCGCAAGGACGCTGAGGCTCAGAGACCAGCCTGACAGCCAGACCTTGACGGCCAGGCCTTTGCCTTCCTCTCCCAGAAAATCTCTCTGAGCACTTTCTCGGGCTCTTGTGGGGAGCCCCGGTGCCTCCCTCCGCGGGCCCTTCAGAGCAAGGCTGCGGAGCTGAGAGTACAGGGGTGAAGGTTCGAAGGTGCTCACCTTGCAGCTGTCCTACCCAGGTCCGCTACCCCCCACCATCTAAAGAGCACTGCCAGCCAGGTTGGCTGAGAATCCCCCAGCACCCCCGGGAAGCAAGGGTGCCCAGGGTGGGATTTGGAACCTTCACCCCCCCCCCCCCCCACGGTGCACAGTCTCTCCTGACAGGGTTGCTGAGTAGATGGCCACAGGGGGGCCCTGTTTGGGCCTCTCCTGCCTGTGGCCCTGCAGTCCCCCAGTGGGTCAGTGGAAAGCCCGAAAACCCGGCCTCTGTGCTGCAGACGGGTGGCCATGGGAGGGGCACTGAGTGCGTCTTGCACTCTGCTTGTCCCTCGAGGCGGAGGGAGGTTTTGTTCTTGAACTCCGAAGCAGCCCCTCTGAGTAGCTGCTGCCTGAACCCGCCCAGCCCCGGGACTCATCCGCTGCCCTCGGTGACGTGGTACTTCCTGCCCATTTGCTTCATGTCCCCCTTCGTGTCCCCCCCCCGCACCCCTTCTTCCTTGCTTCCTGGTTCTCCTTCTCCCTCACTTTTTCTCTGCTCTGGGGATCGATGATTCTGCCTTATCCCGCTCCTGCTAGTTCTCCTTTGTGGTTGTCTGTGGTTGCTGACGTCAGAGACCTGGGAACGAGGGAAGCAGCTCCCGTGGAGTGAGCCATGCCCCCTGCACCATGCGCTGCAGTCCTTGTCCCCCTACCCTGGGCTGGGATGTGTCCAGGGTCTCAGAGTGTGACATGGACACAGATGGTCCTGCTGCTCCCAAGTTCCCCCATCTCCACTCAGGAACTAGGGTCTTTTTTTTTTTTTTTGCTTTTTGGG